GGCGAGAGGGAACGTGAGGGGGGACCGGTCGTCGTCGTCGTCGTCGTCGTCGTCGTCGTCGTCGTCGTCGTCGTCGTCGTCGTTCGAGCGCTGGCAAGACGCCCGAAGCCCCTGCAGGGCCGAGCCGCTGGCGGCCATCGCCGCGGCCGCCCGCGGCCGCGCCGCCGACGCCTCCGCCGCGGCGTCCGCCGGCCTGGTCGACGCGGTCGGGTCCGCCGCGGCTGGCGTGGGCTTCGCCGATCCAGGCCGGAGGCTAAGATGTGCAGCCACGCGCTGAGGGTCAAGCAGTGGCGAAGCGTCCCAGTTCGGCTATAGGCCTAACAAAAGAATGTTCTAATGACATGTATTTGTGGTCTCGAGGAGATGTTCTTAGAACATTGCTGGCTGTGTCTGTCTTGTTTCAACACATCGGGTGCATGCTTTAAGAGCACGGTTTTTGTTATTAGAACATTTTTGGGGTTCCTAGAACATGTCGTGGTAGGCCTATTGGAATGCCGGGACGGTCGGTCCCTGCTCGAGAGATGTTCAGCCACGCGCAGAAGGGGGGTGGGGGTAGGGTTAAGTCAAGAGTCTCCATCCCCGCGCTCAAGCCGTTTCGCTCACTCCCACCCGCCCTCCCAACACATACGTAGCACCCGAGCCTGGCCCGAACCGCAGCATATGCAGCAGTCGTCTTTGGATGGCCAGCTACTGGGAGCCAATCCGCCGCCGCCGCCGCCTGCGCCGCCGCCGCCGCCGGCGCCGCGCCGCCGCCGCCGCCGCTGTCCGCCGCCGCCGCCGGCCCCGCGCCGCCCGCCGCCCCGCCGCCGCCGCCCCCGCTGCCAATTGCCGCAGCCGCAGGCGGCTGCCGCCGCAGCCTTTGCCGCCACAGCTGTCCGCCTGCCGCCGCGCCGCCGCCGCCGCCGCCGCCGGCCGCCGCCGCCCCCGCCGCCGCCGCCGCCGCCACCGCCGCAGCCGCCGCAGCCGCTGCCCCCGCCGCAGCCGCCGCAGCCGCCACCGCCGCCATGTGTACTCTGGATTGTTTTTGTTGACAGGGATGGTGGGGGGAGGCCGCATCGGGTTCGCTGCGCATGCTCCGAATATGGAGACAGAGTGTATTTTGTACGGTTTGTTACAAAGGATGGTGGGGGCAGAGTGTGTGTGTGTGTGTTTTCGTATTGTTTTTTGCCATGGATGGTGGGGGAGTACCGCATGGACCTGGGTTGGCTCCCAAAAAGCCTGGGGGAAGGGGTGTATATTGATAGGGAACAGTGGTGTAAGTCGGGCCTGTCCCTCTACAAGAGGAATCTTCAAACATGGTCCAATAATAGTCTGGGGACGAGTTCAAATATGTTTATTTGAAATTTTGGGGGTATTGTTTACGTCTTGTGAGCTTTCGCCTAACATCCGCCTGTCGGGGGGCAGGCTCGACTTGAGCGGAGGGGGAGGGCTCCTCAGACGCACCCCTGCTTCTTGGAAGGCGCGGGCCTTATATCTATGCAAGGCCGGCGCCTTCCAAGAAGCATCCTCCTTCCAAGAAGCCCTCCCCCCCCTCCACCCCTCTGTGCGCGCCGCCAAGATGTTCCAACCTGATTTAGGCTGGCGCGCCAGAAAGAATTTCGAGCACCGAGGACGCACCGAAACTGGGGGGTGTTTCCACGTGTCGGGCCCCGGGGAGGCGAGGCTCGTTCGTCACTTCGTCAGTGCTTCGGGCAGCCATTCTTTCGATACTCTCTTGGGTGTTCGGAATTCTTTTGGGGATTTGGCTCTTACCGTGCTTTTACGCATCAAGAAACCATATATTTTTTTGTCAGGGTATCCTGGGTTTCTTCGCTCCTCGCGCTGCGCGGTGACTTCCCGCAGCCGTTGAAGAAGCTGCTGCGTGCAGGGTGCTCCAGGCTTCCCCTCAGGTGCACCTCGCGACGGGTTCTCAGGGTTGGGTTCCTTGCGAGGGTTTCTTGCGGCCGCGCCCGCACTGTGTGTGCGGTGGGAAGAACACAAGCCGGGGGGGGCACCTTCGCGGGGCTCGTCGCCGAGCAGCGGCGAAGCGTCCCGGCTTGCCTCTAGGCCCACCGAAGAGTGTTCTGAGAACCCCTTGTGGTTTGCACGGGCTGTTCTTAGAGCATTTCGGGTTGCGACCGTCTCGTTCTAGCACATCGGCTTCATGTTCTAAGAATGTTGTTTTTGTGCGGGCAGTGCCTGGATCTAAGAAGAGTTCGAGGTAGGCCTATAGGAATGCCGGGACGGTTGGTCCCTGCTCAAGTTTCGACGCCTCCGATTCGATTGAATCGGTTCCGACCCAGGCCCCCTCGCGGTCCGAACAGACACGACGGTTTCGGCCTACGGGAGCCCTTGCCGGGCCCCGGGACCGTCAGAAAACGATTCGGGATGAAAACACGGTGCCAGGGAGGGGTCCAGACTCCAGACCTCTGGGGGTCGACGTTATGAAAACATCACGACGTCGGGGGTCTGGGGAGGGCGTCGATTCCGATTCGATTCGATTTCGGATTCCGATCCAGATTCCGATTTCTCCGCGGAGGCCTAATTCGTTTGCCGATTTGTGCCGATTCAACTCCTCCCGACTTGGCTGCCGATGTCCGCCGATTCGATTCATGTCCACCGCCGATCTGACTTCTCGATTCGAATCTGGCTTTCCTGGGGGCACCTTCGGAGGAGCGGGTGGTCGCGAAGGAAGTTGGGAAGGAGAGACCCTGACTTCTTCCAGGCGTGGCAAAATCACGATCAGATGCTTTTGATCATTGTCGGTCTGCTGAGGCCCTCACCGGGCCCAGGGACCGTCCAAAAACGGCCCAGGATTAAGGGAGAATGAGTATAGGCCGCCCATCGGGGTCGAAGCAGACGGGTCGTTGGGTTGCGCCGCAGCGGAGATGCATCGGCGATGCATCGGCGATGCGGCTCGACGTGGAGCCCGACTTTCTCCACGCCGATGGCTCCATGCATCGCCGAAGTCACAAACGTAACGGCGATGCGTCGGCCACGCAGCGCGATCCTCTGACCCCGTCTGCTCGAACCCCACTTGGGAGGCCTCCAAGGAGGGAAGGATGGAGTGTGGGAGGAAGGGAGGGTGGGAGGGAGGAGGGAGGGTGGGAGGGAGGGAGGGGGCGGGGAGGAAGAAGCAAGAGGAGGGAGGGAGGGAGGGAGGGAGGGAGGGTAGGGGAGGGGAGGGGAGGGAGGGAGGGAGGGGAGGGGAAGGAGAACGAGGAGGGAGGAAGAAGGGAGGGGCAGGGACGGGGGGAGGGTGGGGGAATTGGCCCGCGAGGAGAGGGGGCGCGGTCGTGGCCAGGACGCGCTTCGGCCCTTCAGGCCGAGGCTCGGGGGGGAGGGCGGGGGGAGGAAAAAGAGGAGAGGAGGAAAGGGGAGGGATGGGACCAAGTCTGGCCGTCCCTCGACAGGATGAATATTCGAAATAGTCCAGCAATCGTATGGGGACGATGTTTCTACTAAGTTTGACTATGCTTGTGCATTGTTTTACTTGTTCAAACGTGTCTTCCAAGATCCGTGTATGGGAGGACATGCCCGACCTAAGAATAGGATCATGGATCTGGGATGGAGAAAGGGAGCTGTTGGAGGTGAGGTGCGTTGCCCTTTTCAGGGGGCGGACTGAGCACCACAGGGAGCTCCACCTGCGGCCCTTGTGGGGGAGCTCGCATTTCGTCCCCCCGTCCGTCTCGGGACATCCCTAATGCGGATCGCGTTCATGTGCGGTTGTTCCGCTCGACACACACACACAGCCCGCTCCCGCGGTATGATGCACCATATTATTTAGCGGCCACTTCTACACGCACTCGAATAGGGCCAGGTCTTTCGCTAGGCTATGTTGTATCGGGGCCCTCGTGCATATTCAGGCAAGGCCTCTTCATCTTTGACAACCCTCTGCACAGCATGCTTAGCAACCCCACGGGTAGAACCAATAGGACACCAGCAAGACTGCCGTGGCAACTGTTCGTGGAGGAGGTCTGCAATTGGATCAGGCCACGGCCGTGGCAGAACACTATAAAGGAGGGCGTGCTGGATTGTAAGTTGGCTTGGTTCTGCCAGGTATGTTTGATGATTTGCGTTTTCCGCTTTGCATTCTTGGGTACTTAAACCATCGCCTTACAGTGATCGTTCAACAACCCTGGGGTCGGGAGTGGAACTGGCGTTGCCGATGGGATTGTGGAGGTTGCAGGGGTCCACGAAGGCCGTCGCGTTGAGTCTGTTGGGGGCTCCTTTACCCCACAGCGACTCACACTTTCGAGGACGCCGCGCAGCGACTCACACTTTCGAGGACGCCGCGCAGGGTGCTCATAAATCGCATGGAGTCCTTCGGAAAGACGAAAGGGGTACAAATGAAACTTCACTTCACATCGGGTCCGGGCGTTCCACAGGTACTGTATAGTCCGATGCGCTGCCCGTTCGCGAACATATATGGGCCGAGGCAGAATCCAGCTTGATTCCTCGATTCAGTTAACCCTGCTTGCACAGCGCAGCACTCCAAGTTCGATTCGTCTCATTGAAGAAGCTCTGCTTTGGGAAGTTTTGTTGTGGCACTGCTCAGTACCGCGGTTTCAGTCGCACATGCCTTGATTTTGTGAGTGTCGTACGTGGCGGGCGGTCGCACATGATTATGATGGCTGGCCATAGGTTTGGTCGGCTTGGTTTGCAAGTGCAGCTCAACCGTGGACGCCTTTGGCCTCGCAGTGTACATCTCTTGGGAAGAGACCTCAAGCCGCGCAACAGTAGTCTCCATGACATGTGGCCGGATCCAGGAACCGGGTTCACACAGTGTTCTTGGCGAATTGCCTTGCGTTCCGGCCACAGCCTGTTAAACATCTACAGAACCAGCACGCATATAAACGCGTGCGGCTTCGTTGCGTTGCGGGGGGAGGGGGGGGGCCACGGTGCTCAAGCAGGAGCTGCATGCTACAGGGCGTGCTCCGTGTTGCCCTCCACTGCTGGAGGCCCTACCTTTCCGCCCCCAGCGCCAAGGCTCTGGCAGTGCCAGCGCGGCGTTCAGCAGCATGATGGACAACGCCCAGAGCCAGATGTCGGCCGCGAGTCTGGAAGGCTTCCAGCAACAGGCAGCGGCCGTTTACGCCACCATGCCAGCCACCAGCGAGCTCTATGTCGCTGCCAGCAGCGTGGATGCCAGCGCGGTCGGCGACACCCTCACCAGCTTTCAGGACCCGGCTTCCTTGCAGCACCGCTCCGCTCCGAGGGCCCGCAGAGGTTTTGCACGAGAGAGCGTTCTTTCATTCCTGGGCGACAGCGGGCGCTGCCAGGGGGGGAAGGGGGGGGGCCGGGGGACCAGAACCGTCACGTGTCGCGACGGCGCCGTGTCTGGGAACGTCCAGGAATAGCCAACGCCAGCTCGGAGGTCAGCACGCCTCGAAACGTTCGTTGGGGGGGAGGCGGCCGCCGGGGCCAGAGACGGCAGCCATCGCGAAACATCCCCACAGCTAAAAAAACGCTTTCCAACGGGCTGCGTGCGCGCGGGGACGCGATTCTCCTGCGAAGGCGGGGAGCACGAGGGCCATGGGCGTCTCGGAGACCCCAGGCCTGGCTGACATATCAGCACATTTCCCCCGCAAGCCCGGCGGCAGGAAGTCACCGGCAGTCGCCCAAAGGTACGAATCGGCCGCAAGATCCGAACCTCACCCTCGCCGATCAACGATTCGGGCGGCTCGATGGGCAGCGGGGGAAGGTTCGGAATTCGTCGAGCACGTGGCGAAATCCGAACCCTACCCGCGCCTCCCGTGGATTCAGGAGGCTCGATGGTTGGCGAGGGTAGGGTTAAGTCCGGCCTGTCCCTCTACAGGAGGGATATTCGAAAATAGTCAAAAAACAGTCTGGGACATATTTTTCGAGTATCTTTGGCCATTGTGGAGCATGTTTTGACTAATTTTCACTTTGCGTCGAAAATGCCCCTGTAGGGGACAGGCCCGACTTGAGGGTAGGGTTCGAATGTCGCCAACTAGTGACATGCTCTTCTCCCCGGCGCCGTTCTCCGGGACTCCTGCCCCAGGGCGGCTGGGAGGCTTGTTGCAGGTGGAGAAAAAGCACGGACACAATGAATCGTCGATTCCCCAGAGGGTATGGGAAAATCTCGGCAGTGGGGGGAAAGACAGGAGCCCAGAAAATACAGGGAAAGATTGGGAATCCTGTGATTTGTGTGTACTTATGTGTGTGTCCCAGGGCCCCTTCATTGTTCCCCGAAAGGTGGCGCGTCGGGGGCCTAAACGCTTCAGCGGCCCTGGGGCGGGCGTCCACGGTGGCGGAACAGCTTATCCTACGGTGCCCTGGGACGGGCTTCCCAGATGAGGTCGGAGTACGGTCGAACCGGGGTGTAAGATCGAGGTCGGCTCGGGGAGGGCACCCTTTATTAAATTCATAGTGTTTGTTGGATGTTCTTGTGCATCCTAGTGGAGGGTGCTCTCGAATGTTCTTCAGTTTGACCAGCGGAGGGTCTCATGCTATTGAAGGATGTTATTATGTCCTTGGTTAGCTGGGGTCGGGAGATCGCGCCGCGTCGCCGACGCATCGGAGACGCGGCTCGATGTGGAGTCCAATTGTTTCCACGCCGACGGCACCGATGCATCGCCGACGTCGCAGATGTTTGTCGATGCGGCGCGCTCCTCCGACTCATCTACTCGGACCCTATCGTCGGGGAATTAACAATTGCTTAAAGATAAGCTGTCGGAGGTCTGCGCGGATTTCTCGGATCGGCGCTGGACCCCCTTCCTTGGTTAGCGTGCGGAGCGCTCCAGGGGCGGTGCCGGAGGCGCCGGCAGGGGGCCCCAGCACAGATCCAAGAAATTTGCGCGGCGTTCCAATATATGTGTGTGTGATGTTTCTTTGCCCTCTACGCGCGGACCTCATTCGGGAGTCATTCCAGGTCGACGCGCGGCCAGCGCGATCGGGAGAGAGTTCACGATGTGGCCCTGCTTTGGGAAGGAGCCCGTACAGCCGAAGCTGGTGTAAGGATGAACGACTTCCAAGGGTACCCTTGCATCCTCGCCTCTTCGGTCATCTCCGATCCATCCTCGGGCACGTTCGACAGCCAGCCCCGCTTGAAGAGCTTCGGCATGGGCGTCCGAGGCTCGAGCATGCTCATCGTGCATCCTTGCTGCCAATGTTCAGGAGGGAAAGAAACACACAGACACAATTAATCGTCGACTCCCAGGAAAATATGCAAAAATATGGGAAGTGGTGGGGAAGACAAAAACCCAGAAAATATGGGAAAATATGGGGGATATTTTTATTTGTGTGTATTTATTTGTGTGTTCCAGTTCCACTTCAAATGTTGACTGTAGGCAGAGGCTCCGCCGCCGAAGTCGCCTTCCCCTCCGCCCGCCCCCGCAGCCCCCCCATCCGGGCACGGGCCCCGCGCCGCGGGGGAGCAGGACCTCCTGCTCCTCCCGCTCCTCCCCGCGTCTGATCACGCTCCTCGTCGCCCGCGGCACGGCCCTTCTCCTCGTCGTCGTCCTCTCTCTCTTCGCCTCCCTTGCGCGCTCGCAGCCTCTCTCTCTCTCTCTCTCTCTCTCTCTTCTCTCTCTCTCTCTCTCTCGCTCTCCTTCTCCCTCTCTCTCTCTATATATAATTGTTTCTCTCTCTCTCTCTCGTTCCTCCACCTCTCTCCTCCTCCGCCCCCTTCGGGTCGCCCAGGGCTTGGCCCGCCTCCTGGGTCTCTGGCCCTCGCTGAGCTGCTACTGGATGGGGGGTCTCACGCCCCTGGCGCGTGGGGGCCACGCGACGACCCCCCCTGACACAACCCCCGGTCACCCTCGTGTCCCCCCGCTTCGGGAGCCTTGAGGCGGGGGTCAATGCAAACGGGGGTCAGCCAGAGCGCCCGATCTTGCAGGATCCTGCAGGGCCAGGGGCGCACTGACCCGGGTCTGGGTGCAGGATCCTGCAGGATCCTGCAGGATCCTTCGCATTGACCCAGGCTTGGGTGCAGGATCCTGCAGGGTCCTGCAGGATCCTGCAAGGCCCGACTGACCCGGGTCTGGATTGACCCGGGTCAGCAGATCCCCGACCGCCTGGCGCCGCGCCAAGGAGGAGGAGGAGGCAGGCCGCTCGCCTCGAGCTTCCTCGGGGCGAGGGGCCCGTCCAGCGGGGAGGGGCCCTGCGATGCAGGCATGCAGGCTTGCAGTCGAAACCGGTGGTAGGGATGGCCAGCCTTCCCCGGTGGTAGGGATGGCCAGCCTCTCCGGTCCGTCACTAGCCACTCTCGATGGCCAGCCCCGCTCGAACAGCTTCGAGATGGGCGTCCAAGGCCCTTGCATCCTTACTGCGCATCCTTGCTGTCAGTTTTGACAGTGCCGTTTTACACCCTCCCCCCAGACCATCGGGCCAAACTACACAGGCGCGCGCCGCTTGCAGGTCCATGGACGACAGGCCACGGGCCCCACACGCATAGGCCCAGGGCCACTGCCCCCCCCCCTCCTCTCCCACGACCTCCTCAGCCCCCCCCCCCGTCCTGCCGGGTGGCAGCCTCCTGGCTCGACAGCGCCCGCGCGATTCGGGAGGACTCAGCCCCTCTTCAATCTAGCATTTGTTTTGGGATTCGGACTTCGTCGAAGCTCAGAAAAGGTCCAGGACGAATCCCAAAAAGATAGTAAGCTGCTTTCGTAATGTTCTGGGGGTACTGACTGGGGATCAGAATGCTTCCCCTCGGAGCATCATAGATCTGGGTTTATAATGCTCCGGAATATTCACTGGGGTTCATCATGTGTCCCCCAGAACATTCCCCAATCCGTGCTTGCATTGAAGGGGACCTCGCGGATGTTGAAGGATTTGGCGAAAGTTTCCCGCCGATTTTGGTTTCTGGCTGGGTTCTCTGGTTCCCGGCTCTGGGTTCCCGGGTTCCCGGTTCCGGTCTCCGGGCCGATTTCGGAGGGCGGCGAGGTTCGGGTTTTTGGTCGATCTTTTTATCGGTCGGTCTCACCATCGATCTCATTACCGACTTCTCTATCGATCTCACCATCGATCTCACAAGCGATCTCACTAGAGATCGAATGAGCGATCTCGCGATCGATCTCACTATCGATCTTATTGAATCGATTGCACTCTCGGTCTCACGATCGACCTTGCAATCGTCCTCACCATCGATTCCACAATCGATGTCATTATCGATCTCACAATCGATCTCAAGATCCATCGTATTAATTTTCAAATCATCCACTAATTAGGTTTTCTCAGGTGTAATTTCACCCCCCAGGTTTAAAATTCCTGGGGGGGGAGATTCTCGGAACCCCAGAGTGATGACATTGGGCTTGCTATTCTGGAATCGTAATTCTGCTTCTCTTCTCCCCAACCCCTTGGCTCCAGAATTGGATTTATTATCTTCGAATATGGACCCTGGTTTGTCATGTCGAGAACATTATAAACTGGGGTTTGAATGTTCTCGGAATAACACACCCAGGTTGAACATTCTGGAATGATAATATTGGAGCCCGGGGGCGTCGCTGCAGCTATAGCCGGGAATGATGATTCGGGATTCATTTTCCGGACTGATATGAATGTATTACTATTTCGCCCCAGCCCCCGGGCTGCATATTCGGATTCGTTATGTTCGAATAGTTACGCCAGTTCGTTATGTCTGGGATCTTATGGATTGGGGCTCATCTTGTTCCGGGGATGATAAAGTCGGGTTCGGAATGGTAACACTTCATAATGAAGGGGGGGGCGCCTGAGAAGAGGTCTGGCCTGGGCACAACTCTGGTTCATTCTGTCAGGATACTGACCACGGGTTCATTATTCCGGAATGATAATAATGCGGCGGAGGGAGAAGGAAACATATCGATCCACAGGAAGCCCATTCCACAGGGAGTTGGCATCTCAAGAAAACGAACCAAGGTGTACCATCCTTGGATAATGGACCACGGTCGGCGGGGATTCCGCAGTTGTCCTCAAAAAGGTCCTGGTAGTTTTTCAATCGAAGATCATGGTTACCAAGCCGAAAATAAAGGCCGATGCCCCGACACTCATCGGAAGGACATCATGGCTCCCACGATGAGCCACCGAGGCCGCCCACGATTCGATGCGATTCGATGCGACCGCTGGTCCCGCGATGCTGATCTGATTCGGCTCGGCTTAGTCCGCCTGCATCAGCCTAGGCCAGTCGAGTCGGATTTGGGCGCGGCGATCCAGTTTCGGGTTCTGGCTCGATACGAACCCAGACCGATGCCTGGATCTGCTCCCTATGGGGTCCCCAGAGGTCCCGACCGATCTTTTCCCAAGAGCCTGGTTTTCATCCCTATTACCGATTTTGACGGCCCCGGGGCCTGGCAAGGGCCCCCAGAGGCCGAAAACGAACCAACATTTCCTGCTGTGATGTTGTCGTGACGCGGATATGTCTGGGATCCGACGTAGCGAACATATCAACATCGCGAGACATGGCGCCCAGAGCCCTGGACCCCATCTTTCTGCGTCAGTGCTCGAGCCGGATCGAGACGTGAGGGCCCCACGGGCTCGAGGGAGGACGAACACGCCGGGCTCGAACAAACGGAGGGCGTCTCAGAGATGTCCGGGAAGGGATGGGCCCGCGTTCCGATCCGTTTCCGATCCGCTGCAGCGCCGCGGCTCGATAAGGGGGCCAGGCCTGGAAGCTCTGCGCGGCCCCAGCCCTCGCCCACCACGCGCAGCAGCCGCGTCGCCGCGCGCCGCTCGCCCGTCCCTCCCCCCCGCTGGCGCGAGCGCACGCCAGGGCTCGACCTGCATGGCGGTGTGGCGATCTCGTGGATCCTTGCTGTCTGGATCTCGTGCCGAAGCACCGGCGAGGCCAACCCTGAGAGCCTGGAGTCTCATTTTTGCGAGCGGGGCCTCGTCATCTTTTGTCGGGCCCCGGGGCCCTCACAGAGCGATCCGCTTCGAAAAATGGCGCAGCAAGATGGGTCCGGGGCTGCGGTCGTGATTCGTTGCGATGTTGCATGCTTTTTTGCATCGTCGGATCTCAGGGTTTTGCGGCGCCGAACTAGCGCAGAACACAGCGCAGGAAAGCACGAACAGCGCTTTCCTGCAATTGGGTTGGCCACGACCCCCCCCACCCACAATACCGAGACCTACAACGCCGTTGCCTACATCGCTGTTAGCGCGTCTACGGAAAAGGTGTGAGCAGCCAGCAGCCGCACCAGGCTATGGCGCATGCAAACCAGGCCAGCGAGCTTGGACGGCGAGCTACTGCGCAGACCCCTTCGCCACGAAAAAATCACGACGCTAGGTTTTTTCCTGTTTTTGGCCTCTGGGGGCCATTGCCGGGCTTGCCGGCCTCTGGGGGCCCTCACCGTGCTTTGGAACCGTCAAGAAAACGACCCAGGATGAAAAACCGGCCCCGAGGGCGAGTGACCTTTCGCCGGAATGACTGGTGGTGCGGGCTCGCAGGGGTGGCCCCAGCCTTGGCCCGCGCGCTGGGATGTGGGCCCGTCTGGGTCCCCTGAAAAGCCGCGCACCAGAGGTCACTCTTGCCTGGGGCCACTCTTGCGTGTAGTCGGGGGTCGAGCCATGGGCGGGGGATGAACCGGCTCTACCACCTTGAACCTCGGGGTCGTGGGCGGGGTCGACGTCATGGTCTGGTCGCGAACAGCTGGGGGGCCGACGACAGGAACAAAACATCGCGACGTCGGGGGTCTGGGAGGGCTGGCGCACTGGAAAGAGCCACGGCTTCGCAGGCACAGGCAGCGGTGGCCGTTGCGGGCGCGCAGGCGTCGATGGCGGCATCTTCCTCTGCTCCGGTCTCCAGGGGCGCCGGATGGGAGGGGAAGCGGCTCAGGTCGACTACACGTAAGAGTGACCTCTCGCCAGAGTGACCTCTTGGTGCGGGCCCACTGGGGCCTCCCGATCGCCGAGCGCGGTGCGACGGGAGCGTCTTGCGCGCTTGTGGTTGGCCTTCCCGCGGCCCCCATAGAGCCGCGCACCAAAGGTCACTCTTACCGAGGGTCACTCCTTGCCTTTGTGGGCCCCGGAAACGGCAGGGCCGTTTTTTCACCGTTTCCGAAAAATGCCCCTTGAAAATGGAAACGGCAAAAAAACGGCGATCCGAAACGACAAAAAAACGGCTCCAGGATTGGATCCGGAGCCGGAACCGGTCAAAAAACGGCGACGGAACCGGTGAAAAAACGGCGTCGGAACTGGCACAAAAACGGCAAACCGGAACCAGTAAAAAAACGGCCCTGTCGTTTCCAGGGCCCACTAAGCTCCTTGCGTGTAGCCGATCAGGGGGGACACGCCAATGCTCGGCCGCGCGCAGGGAGGGTCGGGGGGAGGGGGGCACGCCAATATTTCATCGCCCAGTCTCCGAGGGCGCCGCGCCCAGAGGTCCGACGTCGCGATCTTGTCAAAACTCACAAAACTCAGGAGGGGAAGAGACACACAGACACAATTCATCGTCGACTCCCAAGAAAATATGGGAAAATATGGGAAGTGGGGGGGAAGACGAAAACCCAGAAAATATGGGAAAATATGGGGAATAGTTCTATTTGTGTGTAGTTATTTGTGTGTCCCAGGGCCCCTTCAAAAGCACGTCGACCCCCAGGAGTCTCGACCCCTTCTCTGGGGCAGGCGTTCCGTTCTGAGTTGTTCTTGGGCCGGTCCAGGGGCCCGCCGAGGGCCTCGACAGTCGGACCGAGGTATCAGATCGAGGTCGGCTCGGGGAGAGTATGCCCGAGTGTTCCTCGTGGTTGCTGGATGTTGTTGTGTCCTCCTCCTCCTCCTCCTCCTCCTCCTCCTTCTCCTCCTCCCTCCTCCTCCTCCTCCTCCTCCTCCTCCTCCTCCTCCTCCTCCTCCTCCTCCTCCTCCTCCTCCTCCTCCTCCTCCTCCTCCTCCTCCTCCTCCTCCTCCTCCTCCTCCTCCCCACGGGAGGGTACCCTTGGCCGTTCCGTGTGCGTCGGCTGGCGGAGGGCCTTACATTCTCGAGGGATGTTCTTCTGGCCTGCGGCGCGGCTGTGGGGTCCTGCCTCGGGCGGGGGCCACCTTGACAGGACTTCGCTCAGGAGGGAGAGAACACACAGACCTCAGCTGCCTCGATACGCCCGTTTTGGTACGCAACACGTCCCGTGTTCAGGACGTCCGTGTCCATACGTTGCGTGTTGGCTCCACGTATCGGGCCACGTTTTGGCGGATGCATCGCGTCGGACCTGCGTTTCCAGCCTGCGTGTTGAGCTCCGTATCAGTTCGCTACGTGTTGCGTGTTGCGTATCGGGGCAGCTAAGACACAGACACAATTCATCGTCGACTCCCTGGAAAATATGGGAAAGTATGGGAAGTGGGGGAGGGAAGACGAAAACCCAGAAAATATGGGAAAACATCGGGGATCCTGGGACCCGTGTCCATTCGTTTCTGTGTCCCTCGGCCCCTTCATTGACTGGACTTCGCTTCACTTCACTGCATGTCCCGTGCATCGTATCGGTCGGGGCTCGGATGCCACGCCCCCCCCCCCCAGAAGCCAGCGGGGGGGGGGGCGGGGCCTATAGGTTCGACTGTGCAAACCTGGCCTCCGGACGCCCTCCGACGGCCTGCCTCGGCCGACGCGAAAAGGCCCCACCATGCAGGGAAACGCCCCCTCAGCGCCGCCCGGGGTGGCGGGGCGGGGAGGAGGAGGAGGAGGAGGAGGAGGAGGAGGAGGAGGAGAAGAGGAGGAGGGAGGAGGATGGGAGGAGGAGGATGGGAGGAGGAGGAGGGAGGAGGAGGAGGAGGAGGAGAGGAGGAGGAGGAGAGAGGAGGAGGGGAGGAGGAGGAGGAGGATGAGGAGAGGAGGAGGAGGGGGGAGGAGGGGGGAGGAGGAGGGAGGAGGAGGAGTAGGAGGGAGGAGGAGGATGAGAGGAGGAGGAGGAGGGAGGAAGGAGGAGGGAGGAGGAGGAGGGAGGAGGAGGAGGAGGGAGGAGGAGGACGAGGACGAGGACGAGGACGAGGAGGAGGAGGAGGAGGAGGAGGAGGAGCAGGAGCAGCAGCAGCAGAAGCAGCAGGAGGAGCAGCAGCAGCAGGAGGAGGAGGAGGAGGAGGAGGAGGAGGAGGAGGAGCAGCATGAGGGCCTCTCGCCTGCTTCGTGGCCTCGTGGCCGTGAGAGGGCCCCTTGCCTGCTTCGTGGCCTCGCCACTCCCCGACTGGACGGGCTGTCGTGTCGGCTCGTGCTGGTGGTCTTGGGTCGAGGGCCGGTGACCGCAGAACACGAGCACAGCGAAAGCAAGTAGGGGGCCACAGGCGGAGGAGAATTCACGAGGCGGGCGGGCGGAGCGTGCGCAACACGGACCGTCGCGGGGGCTCTCGGGGCGCCCTCGGCCGTCGGGCGCTCTGGCTGGTGCTCCTGCTCTCGTTGGGCTCGTGTCTTGCGGTGACCAGCCCTCGACCCAAGTAGGGGGCCACAGGCGAGCCCTGCCCCTACCCCCCACGATTTCTGAGGGGGAGGGTGGGGTTCACTTCGCTCGGGAGCTCCCGAGCGAAGTGACCCCCCCCCCTCCCCTCAGAAATCGTGGGGGGGTAGGGGTAGGGTTCGCCTGTGGCCCCCCACTTGGGTCGAGGGCTGGTCACCGCAAGGCACGAGCCCAACGAGAGCAGGAGCACCAGCCAGAGCGCCCGACGGCCGAGGGCGCCCCGAGAGCCCACGCGACGGTCCGTGTTGCGCACGCTCCGCCCGCCCGCCTCGTGAGTTCTCCTCCGCGCGAGCGGCGGCGGGCCCGCGCGGGAGCGCGGGCGGAGTGGCCGCGCTCGACTTCGCGGGGCTCCCAGAGAATCACCACCATCACCGAGATCGGGAGCGTCCTCCCTCGGTGGAGGCACGCCGCCGATGTTGGTGTTGGTGTCAACCCCTAGGCCTGCACACACACACACACACACAACTCAGGAGGGGAAAAAACACACAGACACAATTCATCGTCGACTCCCAAGAAAATATGGGAAAATATGGGAAGTGGGGGGGAAGACAGAAACCCCGAAAATATGGGAAAATATGGGGAATAGTTTTATTTGTGTGTATTTATTTGTGTGTCCTGGGGCCCCTTCAACAACCAAAGCGCCCGACGGCCGAGGGCGACGAGAGCCCCCCCCGACGCCGTGCGGCCCACGCTCCGCCCGTCCGCCTTTTGCATGCTCCTCCGCGGGAGCGGCGGCGGGCCAGCGCGGGAGCGCGGGCGGAGTGGCCGCGCTCGACTCGCGGGGCTTCCGGGACGACGGTCTTTACGGGGCGCGAAGACGGCCACAGCCACTGCTTTTCTTGTGCTGTCGCCTCCCAGGCAGCAGAAACAGAGCAGTGGTTGTGGGCATGTTCGTGGAGCTTGGCACCAGGGAAATGACCACAACCACTGCTTCTTTTTCGGCCGGCTGGAAGGCGGCGCACACAAGGAGCGGGGCTCCCAGGTCGGGGGTGGACAGACCTCCTACCCTGACACGTCGATTAAGGAATTGGCCGTTGTCGGTTCGCGAGAGGGCGTCGCGGCCTTCACCTTTGCGGGTCCAGGTCCGTCGGTTTCGGTCCCAGGCCGTTTTCACGAAGGGGAGGTTTACTAAAGGGAGATCTGTCCACCGCCGACCAGGACGGTCTTGGGTCGAAGGCCGGTGGAACCCGCACCCTGCCAAGTCGATCAGTAGATCGCCCTTCGTCTGGCCTCCTGGCCGCGCCCCTCCCCCAAGGCCGGGCTTTCGTGCCGGACACTTGGCTTGGTGCTTCTGATTCTGTCAGAGGCTGCCAGAAGTGTTCGTTGGACAAGGTTGGTTTCGCTGGACTCGAGGTCCCTCCAGCCCGACCTTCGGCACTCCAGCGCGACCTGTGAGCCGCCCCAGCAGCTGTCGAAATCACCCTTCTTGAACCAGACCTTCTCGCCGTCCTCGATTCTGGAGCGCCTGGCACGGGCCTCCAGAGGGGACGGGCGCAGGGGCAGCGTTCCCAAGCAGACCCCCGACGTCGTGATTTGTTCATGACGTGGACCCTCAGAGGTCTGGACTCCTTCCCGGCTTTTCATCCTGAGTCGTTTTTTGACGGTCCCGAGGCCCGAGGCCCGAGGCCTTTCTGGGGTTTTCGGCCGGTTCGGGGGGGTCCCACACAGTTGATGCTCTTGATTTCCCCGCCCAGCTGTGGAAGCAGCTGAAGCAAACAATTCACGGCGTAGTTTGGGGAGAAGCTGCTCAGCATCATCTTGGGGATGGAGTTCAGGATGGGGCTGATTTTATCAACGCCCACTCCCTGTTGTTCAAAATGGGTAAAGGTCTGGACTATGAGGGCCAAGGGATTTATGGAATACGCTGGTTTCGGGCTTCTGGACCGAATCTCGTTTGCATGATAGTGGATACGACGTTGACTCCCGGGGGCTTTGTCGGCGAGGCGGTCTCGAGCCTGAAACCCCTTTACATCGCTTCTGGAAATGCCCGCGCAATGATAACACCCCTCTCCTGCCGTTCAGCGCTCGCAGTCTCTGTGTGCTCGTGCACTTGAAGGGGCTCCTGATTGTCCTGCTCTTTGGTGCCGCGGGCTCATGGCAAGAGCCAGGTCGATGGGCCATGTTCCGCCTCCCACCGATCAAGTCCGCCCCTGGGGATCCATGTTCCGCCTCCCACCGATCAAGTCCGCCCCTGGGGATCTCTCGGGGGTGAACGGGCCCCTGGAGGAGTTTTTGGGATCGACGGGTCGGGGGGGCGCACGCTAAGGATTGGCGACTGAGGCGGTGTGGATGGGCGCGTGCCCGCTTAGGTCCCTCTATGGCTGATGCTGACGGCTTCCTCGCTGGCCTTTCCCGGAGAACACCAG